AAGAGGGGAAAGTGATCAGGAATGGTCAACATGGATTCAGCAAAGGCAAGTCATGCCTGACCAATTTGATAATCTTTTATGATGAGGTAACTGGCTCTGTGAACATGGGGAACTCAGTGGATGTGATATACTTTGACTATAGCAAAGCTTTTGATGAGCTCTCCCATGGTATTCTTGCCAGCAAATTAAGAAAGTATGGATTGGATAAATGGACTGTAAAGTGGATAGAAAGCTGGCTAAACTGTCAGGCTCAATGGGTAATGCTCAACGGCTCAGTGCCTGGGTTGATGGTTGGTGTCAAGCAGAGTGCCCCAGAAGTTGTTTCTATTCAATATCTTTATTAGTAGCCTGGATGAGGGGATAGATTGCACCCTCAGCAAGTTTGTGGATAACACTAAGCAAGGTGGAGAGGTAGGTAAATTGGAGGTCAGGGATAGGGTCCACAGTGACTTAGACAAATTAGAGGATTGGGCCAAAAGAAATCTTCTGAGGTTCAACAAGGACAAGTGCAGAGTCCTGTACTTGGAACAGCAGAATCCCAAGCACTGTTGCAGGCTGGGGACTGACCTGTTAAGCAGCAGTTCAGCAGAAAAGGACCTGGGAATTACAGTGGATGAGAAGCTGCATATGAGTTAAAAGTATGCCCTTGTAGCCAAGAAGGCTAATGGCACATAAGGGGCATTAATAGGAGCATTGCTAGCAGATTTAGGGACGTGACTATTCCCCATTTATTCGGCATGGTGAGGCCACATCTGGAGTATTGCATCCAATTCTGGGTCCCCCATTACAGAAAGGATGTGGACACATTGGAAAAAGTCCAACAGAGGGCAACTAAAAGTATTAGCGTGCTAGAGCACATGACTTACGACGAAAGGCCGAGGGATTTGGGCTTGTTTAGTCTATAGAACAGAAGAGTGAGGGGGGATTTGAGAGCAGCCTTTAATTACCAGAAGGGGGGTTCCGAAGAGGATAGAGAGAGGCTGTTCTCAGTGGTGACAGATGGAAGAACAAGGAGCAATGGTCTCAAGTTGAAAGAGGTCTAGATTGGATATTAGGAAAAACTATTTCATTAGTAGCGTGGTGAAGCACTGGGATGGGTTCCCTAGGGAAGTGGTGGAATCTCCGTACCTGAAGGTTAAGTTCTGGCTTGACCAAACCCTAGCTGGGATGATTTAGTTGGGGTTGGTCTTGTTTTGTGCAGTGGGTTGGACTCTTCCAGCCCTAGGATTCTATGATTCGATGAATTTAAGGTAGGGTAGATGCTGCTGTGCCAGTAATTTAACCGCATTGGCCACCGGCAGGCCTCCTGCAGCTGACCGCTATGACTGCTCTGGCCACACCTTGTGTCTCCACCACTTTCCTCCTCCCTCTGAGCTCTAGAAGTCCTGGGAACTGGAGAAGGGCTTGTCCCATGTGGCCAGATTTGTGAGCCTTGTGCGAGCGAGCAGGAATCCACAACATGAGTGCTCCCAATTCTCCTTTGGACACTTAGATGTCTGCAAGTACTTCTGCTCAAGAGCTCCAGCCTGGAGTGCGTGGGGGATCTTGGACCTCATCGAGGTGTGGTGGGAAGAGTCCATCCTCCATGACCTTTGCACCAAGAAATAGAACACCAACATGTACGGCAGGATCACCGCCAGCCTCACGCACAAAGGCCATACCAGGACCCTTGAGCAGTGCAGGCTGAAAATAAAGAAGCTCAGGTAATCATATCAGAAGGCCAAGGAGTGGCATAGATCTGCGATGTCACCTCACAACTGCAACTACTATGAATAGCTGGATGCCATTCAGGAGGGAGGGGGCAGCCAGCTCCCCTGCCCTGGTTATTGAGAAGGGCCATGAGAAGGAGGAGGAGGAACAGGAGAAGGAAGAGGTGGAGGAAGAGGGGACCAGCCAAGTAACAATGTCCAAGAGCCAGGAGCAGCTCCTCACCTTGGAGCCGATCCCTCCCTCTCAGGAAGTCTCCCAGGCCACTGATGACCCCACGGAGTGCACTTTTGGTGAGTTCTCTAATTTTCTCTAATTAGCATGGTCAGGCAACGGGCTCTGAGGTGTGGCATGAGGGGCATGGAACAGCTTGTTCACAGATCTCCAGATGGAGTGTCGGTTTTAAGTATTCAGCTTTATGAAGCTCTCATGTGGCCTTGCATGAAACACATCACCATTGTCTGAACTGAGACCTTCAGTGTATGGTAAGAGATTAGGCTTCACACAACGTATCTCCTGTGATATCTGCCCTTATAACTTTTCTTGACAGCTGGGCCAGCTCTAGGCTTGGTGCATCCCCCATCTCCCACTGCATATGCCTGCCTGGCTGGGATCCGCAGGTGGAAAAGAACAGGGGACAAGCTCATGAGGGAGCAGATGGGCTGCTTGCGCTCCCTCATGTTTGGGCTTCTTCAAGGTGTCCCCCCTCAGCACCACCCATTCCTGAAGGAGTTGGAATGCCAGCATACTCTGTGTGAAGCCACCAAGTGTCGGACACTGAGTGAAGGCAACACAGACTCCCCTTTGGTTTCCTGATGTGGGACAAAGGCAGAGTTCAGGACAGTGCTTGTCCATGCGTTAGCACAGATCTGCTCAGGTAAATACCTCCCCGCAGGGGAAGCATGAAAAGAGGACAGTGTCACCAAAGACTGAACCATTCCTGGGACTGTTCCCTGTAGCACCACTTGTCACCTTGTGAGCACTGGAGAGCGCATGGTGCCCCTCCTACTGCATTCTGGTGCTGCCACTCCAGGGCTCACCAGAACTTCTCCCCATGGATGTTGCTGGGGGAAAATGTCCTACATTGCTGCATGTGGCGAGCACACACGCCTAATAATAAATGGAAATGAGCAATCACCCGAAGAACTGTAGCAAAATTCAGGACTATGTAGCACTTTAAAGACTAACAAGATGGTTTATTAGATGATGAGCTTTCGTGGGCCAGACGATGCCCACAAAACAGATATCAGACAAGATCACAAAGAAAAAACAGTTTCTTGCCATTTCAACCAGAAAGGACACTCTCTCAATGACTTAACCACCTGCATTCTGCTACAAAGACCTTTTACATCTGCACTTGAAAGGGAATCCTCTGAACTGTCATTCATGTTAAAATTCGACACTCTCCGGGAAGGAATGAACAAAGGATCAAACTATCTTACCCATTACCAAGATAGCTTCCCCAATTATCACCTCTAATACCATTAACTCACAGACATCTAACTCTCCCCACCCCTAATATAATTAATTCACAGACACTTATCTTCCTTCCTCCCCCCCCCCCACCCACCCCCCCCTTCTGTTCTGAAATTTGATTTGTCCTTTTCATATGTGTTCTTTTTTTTTAATTGTATCCTTTGGTATATATGGTTGTGACTATTTTCTTCCACTATTTGATCTGAGGAAGTGGGTCTGGCCCACGAAAGCTCATCATCTAATAAACCATCTTGTAAGTCTTTAAAGTGCTACATAGTCCTGTATTTTGCTTCAGCTACACCAGACTAACACGGCTACATTTCTATTACTATTCGAAGAACTGTGGAGCTTCCCTTGTCCTCTGGTTCTATGGAGTTCGGGTGACATGCGCACTATTGATGGCCCACTGCAGAGACTGAGAAGTCATCAGACTGTATGGATGTGTTCATGCTAAGGGGTGCATGTGGCATTACAACTCATGTAACAGCCACAAGGTAGGGAAGTCTGTGTGGGAAAATGCCAACTGAGTTACTGTTTAGTAAGTCTGGTTTAAAGCTGTTTTCACAAGTATTCCAAATGCTGGCTATAGACATTTGTATTGATACATACTGTATTGATACTAAATGTTCAGTCTTAAGAGATGGTATGGAATGCTCTTTCTGTGGTGTAAATCTGTAATCTTTTTCTAAATCCTGAAAAGACTGAGCTCTATTCTGCGCTTCAGCAGACAGGCCGGCTTTGGTGCAGTCCAAAGGGAGTGTATTAGTTATACGTAATATTACCTCAGCACACTTGAGTCTCTCCTTAGTCTGGTTTAAATAATGAATAACACCACTGATCAATGGAATTATTCCAGTTAAAACCAGTGTGAGAAGAGAATTAGGCCCAAAATTGTCTCATCCCTGTTCTAATGTTAGTGTTCACAATATGTCCTGAAGCATTGACACACATGGGTTATTTTTACAACTTGTTCATGAAATAGACCCTTTTACCCATTTACAGTTATTTTCAATTTCAGTGAGTATCTCCTGGCTCTTTTACATCATAGGTGCAAGCTAATAGATGCCCCTGGAGGGCTTCACCATCCCACTCTTTGAGACAGAGACACAGATCTCTAGCACATCTCCTCTTGGTCTTTTAAAAAAAACAGAGGGAAACATCACAAATATAATTAACAATTGCTGAAGGAAACAGAAAAAAAGGAGTGAATGTTAAATCTTAATAGCTTGAAGTCATGCCAGACTATTTCCTCCTTTGGGTGAAAGTGATGTGTCTAAGAGTAATTATGTAGAGTAGGAGTGAGTAAATGTAACAATTAGGGTGTGTCTAGACTACATCCCTTTTTCGAGAAAGGGATCTAAATTAGGCACATCGATATCAAATGAAGCTGGGATTTGAATTTGCTTCATTTGCATAATAGCAACCGCCTCTTTTTTCCAAAACGGGGCTTTTTTGAAAAAACCTGGCAATTTAGACGGGAATCTTTTGAAAATAAAACCCTTTTTTGAAAAATCCTGTACTCCTCAAATAATGAGGTTTACAGGATCTTTCGAAAAAGGGTTTTGTTTTCGAAAGATCCCTGTCTAAACTGCCGGGTTTTTTTTTTAAAAGCCTCATTTTGAAAAAAAAGCAGCGGCCACTATTATGCAAATGAAGCAAGGGAAATTCAAATCCTTGCTTCATTTGCAATATCGACATGCCTAATTTACATCCGTTTCTTGAAAAAGGGATGTAGACTAGACACATACTTACTTGGGAACATTAAAGCTAGCCTGGCAAAGAAAGAGGAAAAGACACACAGTGTAACTGTGACATTTTATGAATGGATAAAAAAATCTAGTATAATCCTGCTCATGCTGTTTACTTAACTCCAAATGCACCTCTGCCAAATTGGTCCCACACGCACAAAGCTACGAGCAACTTTCATGGGTTCATGATTCAGGTCCATTGGCTGAGGGTGAGTGAAGACCATTTGGTAGCAAAGTGCAGCAGAAGGTTACGTGGGAGATTTCTCACAGATCCATGGGAGAGGGACTTCACAGCTGGAGGCCTGTAGGGCCTCCTTGAGCAGGACGCCACAGTGCTGCACGGGGCTGTTTGAATGAACCCTGCAAAAGACGGAAAAGGAACACAGATGGTGTGAGGAAAGAATAGTGAAAGATTCCTAGGCAAAAGAGAAACAGGCTCACGTTTCACTCCACCCATATTTTAGTTAATGACTGCAGAGGGAGTTTTTCCTGAGTAAATACTGAGGCAGGTGCTCAGGATATATCTTATGGACTTAAAAATAACTGAAAACCCTCAAAGTAAAAATTGAATCAAACCAACTTTATATCATTGAAAGTTGAACCATCCTCCCAGACCCAGCCAGAGCCATTGACATTTGTCATTCCAATCCAGTGGGCTTCTATAGGAATCCCCAGGAACAGGTCCTACAAGGGGAAAAAGGACAGAAGGGATAAAGAATCTGAACAGAATCACCCTGGACAAAAACAACAGCATAATATCAAGGAGAAAAATATTCCAGCCTTTCAGAAAGAGCACGGTGAGTCCTGACTGACTTGCTATATGAGCCAAATAATTTCAGTTTCCTTAATGTTCTCTTGAGTCATAGTACTTGTGGGAAAGAGCCACGGGAATTGAGAATTTGGGAACTAGTGGTGCTCCTGACTGGTGGTAAAGGGGAACAAAGGCCTCACATCTGCAGGATGAATGTGAAGGAGCGGAACATGTCCTAGCACTCAGTTATGTGGTTTTATTTGTCTATTAACTATAAATGAAAAGGGCTAAATGTTTTTTATTAGCTGGCATTCATCCCATTATCTTATTGGTTTCCATCTCTGATACCTATTCTTCTTTAATCATCTATATGGGACTCTGAACCAAATTTTAGTCTATGATAAAGGATTTAATCGTGATGAAGGTTGGTTGGGGCACTATCAGCTTAACAGCCGATGAAGGTGCAAACAGCTCTTTGTATAGATTCCTATGTCAGGAAGGATACTATCAATTGACTTTGATTCTTATCTGCTTCGTTTTAACTATCCAGTCTTCAGATACTTACTGATTCCCTCTATCTTCCTGTCTCCCACACTCTTCTTTTTTTTTCTCTCTGTCCCTCCCTCCCCACCTTCTCTCCTATTTATTTAGGGTCTGCACATCCTAAACTCAAAACTCTGGTCATCTGAAGAAGTGGGCTGTGCCCACAAAAGCTCATGATACCATCTACATATTTTGTTAGTTATAAAGTGCTACCAGGCCATTTGTTTTTTTTTTCTGTACAGACTAATTCGGCTACCCCCTGAAGCTTCACAAGTAGAGTTGTTTGAAAGATGATACTTTATTATTTTCTGTGGAAAATTTGTACAAAAATAGAAAATTCTGACTATCCATCTAAAAATCCAAACCCCAGAAACCAGAAATATTTTAATTTTCAGAAACTGAAAATTGAAAACTTTCAGGTGAAAGCCAAAACATTTCAGTCAAACTCCCCAAAATTTCATCTTTTGGTTCTTGGTTTTCCATAAACTAAAACTTACAAGGAAAACAGAAACTTGGTATGAAAATTTTCTTTTAGTCAAAACACCAATTTTTTGTCAAAATTTTTTGATGGAAAATTTTCACCTAGCCCTATCTCAGGGCTCCAATCTAGCATATCTGTCAATTGGACTGCTACAATTTTGGCTTCATTACTGATATTTACCCTTTCCCTGGTGTCACTGATTATCAAAAGTTCTGAATCTTGGGTGGAGCAGAACTCCTGGCTAGAATTCCAATCTTTCTTCACCTTGGAGAAGTAGTAACAGCTGTCTCTATATTGTACCCACTGGTCAGGGCATCCCAGACAAGAATGATCTGTAAAGGAATCACAAAATACGTATAATGGCTCAGGCCAGAGATTGCATGTCTTTCCTGAAAATACTTACTCTTGATAGCCAAAGCCACCGAGACTCCTAACAGCAACAGGCAGAAGATCCCCAAAATCACTGCAATGATTTTCCAGAGATGAGATGGAACAGGGGAACCTACCAAGTAAACATAAAGATGGGCAGAATGAGCCACCATGATGAATATCTGAAATCAGGTAACACACAACTATATCTAAAATTCAAACAAGTCTATTCATTAGATGCTGGGTAATTCTGGCAGGCAGTAAAAGTACTTGCAAAATGATGTCTTATCTGTTAGAGCCCTTTACCTTCAAACCATCCTGCTTCTATGCTATATGGTGCTTTTTATCTCCCTGTTGATATAATAGAGGAACATTGCTATTTTAATATCCCTTAAATCTATCTTGGGGTAGAGATAGCAGTAAGTTGTTTAACTAAAGACAATGCAACAAAAGGTGGAATATCAACACCTTGATAATTTACCGTACCTTTGATTTCTGCATTTTCAGGTCTTTGATTCAGCTGCTGCTTAGGAGGTGTAAGAAATTTTGTATTTGTGTAGATTGTCTCTTTCTTTTTCATTCCTAGTGGGTTATAAGAATGGAAATGCAATACTGTATTTACTGTGCTAAGATAAGAAATTAGCAGAAAGGTGACTCACTTCAAAATCTGGTATGGATCTGAACTTTCTCAAGGTTGATTGGCTTTTGGATCAAGTTTGTCAGTTTGGGTCCATCTCTAAAGACAAATCATAATATACTACAACAGGAGAGACCTGTGTATCACATGAATTGCCTAAAAAAATAATTTATTCAATGTTCTTTTTTTCTTGATTCTTATACTAAAGTGTACCACAGAAGAATTAAAAAGTTAAACATTTATATAATCTCATTGGCTACGTCTAGATTGGCATGATTTTGCGGAATACTTTTAACGGAAAAGTTTTTCCATTAAAAGTATTTCCGCAAAAGAGCGTCTAGATTGGCAAGGATGCTTTTGCGCAAAAAGTGCAGTTGTACATTCCTCTATCCCAACACAAACAATTCACAGAAAAGGGTCTACCCTTTTGGAATTCAAGTGGTACTCAATACGATCACGGTGTTATCATCGAAGTCCAGTCGTAACCATTTCAGTGATGAAGTAATTGAGCTACTACATGACATAAGAAAACAAATTTGTATACAGATCAATTGTCAGCTTCTGGGTGGTGGTACTTAAGTATACGATACAGAATACAGTATTTTTTTTTTTAGAATTTTGACAGTTAATGTTTAACTTTATTTTAAAATGTTTAAATTTTGATCAATTTAAATTCATAGTGGTGCAAAATTATGAATTTTAAGTATTTTTAAAAGGTTTTTATCTATTTAAGTTGTTACAGTTGTGGGATGTTATGGAGGGTCAGACAATAATTATTTGATGACAGTAAAGGTTCAGATTCAAACAAGAGGTATAATGGTTAAACTCAAAGCTCAACATCATATGCCAAAATTTTATCTTTAACTCAAACTCTAATATGTTTTCAAGTGTTTTTCTTACTCTGACTCTCTGTAGAAATATTCATAGCTATATAGTATACTTAGATTTCCAGAAAGCCTTTGACAAGGACCCTCACCAAAAACTTGTAAGTAAAGTTATCATGGGATAAGAGGAAAGGTGCTCTCATGGACTGATAACTTGTAAAAGACAGGAAACAAAGTGTAGGAATAAATGGTCAGTTTTCAGAATGGAGAGAGGTAACTAGTGGTGTCCCCCAAGGGTCCATACTGAGACTAATTCTATTCAACCTAATTATAAATGATCTAAAGAAAGGGGTAAACAGTGAGAAGTTTTTAAGTCCCCTCTTGACAAAGCCCTGGCTGGGATGATTTAGTTGGGGTTGGTCCTGCTTCAAGCAGGGGATTGGACTTCATGGACTCCTGAGGTCTCTTCCAGCCCTGGGATTCTATGGTTCTATCATTCTGTAGATGGTCAAGGGCATCTATGCCATCCTGCTGTGGAGAGTCAGCACCCTGGGCAACGTGGACCCCATCGTCACTGGATTTGTAATCATGGGCTTCCTCAATTGTGAGGGGCCATTGATGGCACCCACATCCCCATCCTGGCCTCTGGCAACTGGGCCTCTGAATACATGAACAGGAAGAGGTACTTCTTGATGGCTCTGGAGGCCAATTATTTTGAAATAACAGCAGCTGTGCATCCACACTAATGCTATTTTGAAATAACCATTTCAAAATAAGTACTCTTTCTCCTCACAAAGAGGAGTTATTATTTCGAAATAACCAGCTTGGGAGTGTGGACGCTCGCCTTTTTATTTCAGAATAACTCCCTCGTGCAGACAAGATCTCAGCGCCCTCCCTAACTAATGGCCTGTCCCTAGTCATTGGGGACTTTTGTTACTGGCAGTTGCTGATGGACTACATGACATTGTAGGCAATACAGTCACACAATCCCCTTCATAAACATAGCAAGCTCAGAGTCTGAGATCTGTAGAGAGCTGCTGCCTCCCCACATGCCGTGGCTTTAGATCTTCTCGTGAGATAATCACAATAAAAACTTGTCAGTAGGTTTATGAAATTCAGTGTAAGAATAAAAGCAAATCATAACTAGCTTCACAACTTTGTTCCTTTTCTTGGAGGTATGGATATCAGGTAAGGTTTGTGATTTTAAATCCTGATGAACCAAAGCATCCCTGTGATTCAGAAATCATATTGGCCAGATCAGTCACATTCTTTATATTTCTCCAAAAATAGTGGCTATATATTTCATGTTGACAACATTCCTTACTTCAGCCCCTCCTTTACTCCATTTTGACCATAAGCATGCCCAAAAGCAGAAAATCAGGCACTTAGGGAAATGTTATTGGAAAAACATAGACACTGAGTAACTTTAGGTGCTTAAAGTCTCAGCTTGACAAAGCCCTGGCTCGGTTGATTTAGTTGGGATTGGTCCTGCCTAGGGCAGGGGGGCTGGACTTGATGACCTCCTGAGGTCTCTTCCAGCTCTATGATTTTATGATTAAAGGATTTGCCATAGGGTATAGTGCACAGCAGTGGAGCTAAAACTAAGATTCGAGCACTTGAAATAAGGTCTTATGTGCCTGAATCCTTTTGAGCATTGTGTTCTTAGTAACTATTAAATTCCATTGTTTCACAGATTATTTTTCCTGAAATGTAGTATCCTGCACTTTGTCCAATTTGAGTCTTATTTTATTATCTGTCCGTATTTTTAATTTCTCTAGGGTGCTTTATATTATGTGACTATCCTTAATGATGTTCACAGCACTTTCCCTCTTTCTTGTTTTATTATTGTGTTATTTTCTCACTTTTACAGATTATGCATAAATATGTAAAATAAATGTAGCCCAACACAATCCTACATGGTACCCATTCACAAGATCATATATTGTCATTTTCCTTCTGCCTTTCCTTACAACCTGCAACACTTTTCAGATTTAATTACTTGGTTCATAGACAAACCAATGTAAACTCTTTTCTCAAGTATGTTTGATTGAGGGCCTATATCACATTTTCCTGCTCTCCCTAAATGTTCCTTGTGCAATCTTGAGATTGTAGATTTTGAACTTGTAGATTTTGCCTTTAAGAGTAACATATTTAAAGATGGAGTCAGATGATTTCCTGACAGTTCAAAACTGTTAAGACCCAGGAATTTAAATCAGATTCCTCTTCGTAGCTAATGAATGTTACACCAAGAAGGAGGAGATCATGGAACTATAAAAAGATACTATCCTTCACATAGATTCTCACAACTATAAATCTTTAAATATGTAATCCCTAATGGTTTGCAAAGAAAAAAACATAAAATCAAATTTATGTGTCTAAATAATATCTTCCATAGAAACACTTTCACTCATTTTTTGAATTAGAAAACACAAGTAAATTTTACCAACATTAATGTTCTACTTTAATAATAAAGCTTTAGATGTATTTGACCATGACACTTTTGTTGGTACCTGTAGTTATTTATGAAGAAGCTGGAGACCAAGGGTAGATCTATTTGTGCTCTGTCTTTTCTGGTCACGTATATATGAATCCACAGGGGAGAAAAGATGTCCTGGCTGTCCTGATAGAAGACAAACTATGCAAGCCAAAAGAGAATGGTGTATTCACTTTGTAATGTTCCAGCTGAAACCGCACAGGAAGGTCATTGGCTGTTACTATGAAAAGACCTCCCTCAGTGCAAAGTGCTCGTTCATTGCTGGAAGTGCCTGATTCTTTCCTTTGTCAGATGTAAATCAGGTGTAACTCCATTGAAATCAGTGTACATGAGAGGAGATCCAGCTCTAATTCTTATTTTAATCTCAATGAGTGTGTGTCGGGGGGGGAGGGGCGGGATACTTCTCAGCAGCAGGTTATCAAAGAATGACATGGAACTTGGAGCCCCACAGGTTATGCCACAGCAATGGAATATTTATTTCTAGCCATTGTCAGTGCACTGCATTTTTCATTTCACTCTGAACCACTCTGTTTGTTACAAAGGGAAGGGTAAATAGGATCTCTTGAAATGGCCTCCGCGTTTCATTCACTGTTTAGCCCTTTACACATCTTTTCTTAGACTTCTCTTTATAACAATATGCTAGGGGAAAGTACATAAATAGGATTAATAATGATTGAAGCCCAGAGTCCAGCTGAGGGGGGCAGTGGAAAGTTCCACCACTGACCGAGCTGAGTCCCTTGCCAGGGGGCACAGATGTGTAGTGGTTCAACGTCTACTGACAATTATTATTGTGCATCGTTTGACAATAAACCTGGCCTGGTACCTGCACAGCTTTTAGATTCTGTGGTTATTGGGCATTCTCTTGGAGTCTGTTATGCTTGGTACCTGCGCAGAGTTGGGGCAGCACACATAGGGAGCACACACAGCTGAACAATTATCAACATTTGACAGAGCAAGATATCTGTCAGGACACGACATCAGTGACATCAGGACACCCCAACCACTGATTTGGAGGCTAAGCAAGCTCTCTACTGTAAGAATCATGATCTATCATGACAGAAAACCACAAGATAGGGAATCTCCTTAACCTTTCTCTGAAAATCTCCAAAGAGTGAAATAAGGCATGGATGTGCTGGGTTGCTAGCTAACGAGGTCCATACAGATTTGAACAATACTGTGGTGAAGAAACATTCAATGTAATTTGCAAGGACAGGGCAGAGACTGTAGCCTTGAAATGTAGAATGTTACAAACTAAAACCAAGGATGTTAAATGGCACACCACTAAAGTCCAAGAATCAGTAATAAAGAAAGTGTTAAAAGCAGTAGAAGTCTCAAAGCCCTGGAAAGCTCCTGTTCGCATCACAGGGTAGCAAGCACAGAAACAGAATAAAACATTGGTATATGAAACGCACCAAAAAGGAATGTCCTGTCCCACTACAAATATTTGTTGTCAACAGCAGACTTCGTAGCTACCCTGTGACTGAAGAATGAGGAGAAAAATGAGAAAAGGTGTCCATAGAAAATTAAGAGATGTAATGATGTCCAGAGCACTACTACCATAACCATATATTAAAAGCCAGGTCCTGGTTAAAGCTAAGCTAGGACCTAAACAGGTGCCTGTCAGA